CAGTTGTGGTTGTAATGTATTGGTGTGTACACAGAGTGTTGTGATTTTAATAAGTTTGCTGTGCTTTCACAAGTGTTTTTTTTCTTATTTTCGAGTTGGGTGGAAGGCTGAGGACTCCTGCTGGCCACCTCCTTTACTTTCTATTGTTTTTTTTGTGTATCTGTATGTACAATTTGGAATTGTGTTTTGGTGATCGAGACCTTGTGTAGAATTAATGTATGGTGTATTTTTAACTTTTGTATTTCAATAAAGTGCTTGTCTTTATATTTCCAGTCCACGTCTCCATGCTCACCCTGTCTTGGTAGCGAACCAATGTGCCTTTGATAAGGTTATTTTCCGGTGTATTCTGGGTGGCGTAGTCGATTAATAGTTAGATATTAGTTTTGTAAATGCTTTCAATTTGACCGCCTTCGCCACACATGCAACACCCGCTGAGTGGCATTAAACAGCTTGAAAGATCAAAGACAATGTTTAATATAACTCTGACTGAATTCGTCTGAAATAAGAAAGTCATATACACCTAGGATGACTTGAGGGTGAGTAATTTGTGGGCTAATTTTCATTTTTGGGTGAACTAACCCTTTAAGTATTCCAAAGTATTTAGACTGAGTTACTAAACTTGAGTAATCTAACAAAATATGTTACAACATACTTTTTACAGGATTTATTTTGTAATCTGTAGTGAAATTATATGTAATACTTATTTCAAATAAGTATTGACTTCTAATTTGTGACTGATTTCGATGTAAAATCCCTATTAACATCATAAGTGCCCTCAGGGGCGATTCAAGGATTTTCATTTTAGGGGGGCTCAGCCCACAATGAGGGTATATATATATATATATATATATTGTAAACTGTATTTATGACAAAGAACTGCACAGATGCAGATATATAACAATCTATCGATAAACACACAACTTGTCCTCGGTTTCTCGCTCTGCGCCGCTGCGGTCTGCTGATGTCTGCGCACTGCGGTCTGCGCGCTGAAAGACGGAGAGGAGCTGATTGAAGTCTGCCGCTGTTTTCATATGAAATTTAAAGGGGACTGAGGCGATCACGAATTCGTGTACAGTTTATGGAGCTAATCGCAAAATTTTAGGGGGGCTGAGTAGTCATTTGCACTAATCCTTTCGTGCAATATGGCCTAGCAACGCCCAAGAGTGCCCTCCAGGAAACAAACAAAAAAAAAAGCAATGAAATTCATGACCCCTTAAATAATGTATACAAAATATATAAATCTCAAATTTGGGAAAAATTACCTAAACACAGAAAGTGGGGTAGATAGACTGCCTTCAGTTCTCCAGAGATGACGGCAATATCCATCAAGGGGCCACACGGTGTAAAATGCTCCATTTCTGGAAAATCACCTACACACTCCCAGTCACAAATGTGATACTCAAGCTGAATGTCACGAGAGCATTCAATACGGAGACCAGTCCTGCTGCATTCATAACTCCCTGATGCAAGAGTCATTCTGATGGACAAAGAGACATTTAAGATTAACATTCATGAGGGGTGTTACAGAGTATTTGTTAAATATAGCTAACGAAATATATATTGTGTGTTTGATTGGTCCAGACGCTACAATATTATTCACACAATTCTCCCTAATTCCTAATTTTTTATCTTTTAATTTTTCCTTATTAAAATAGCCTACTGAAGAAAAAAAACTTTTGAACAGCAGTATATATATATATATATACAGTATATATATAAAGAAATGAAAAGACACAGCAGGTATGGCACCTGTACTTCTGGTTCTGTGCATCTTCTGAGATCACAGAGGGTTCAATCAGGTCCCATTCAGTTGAATCCTGAAACAATATGTTAGGATTCAAGATCAACTATATTTCAGAAATTACAATTTAACAAGCATTTATTTTCTAAATTAATGAAATATAATAATAATAATAATAAAAATAATAATATAAAATTTGTTCAATTAAGTTCCAGCTTAACTGCTCTTCACTTACCCTGACACTGGCACAGGTTTGACATTGTCTGTGTGAGGCTGGACAAGATAACAGATAAAAAAAATTAAATGGGTTAAAAAAAAAAAAACAAAGCTGCCTAAAAAATAGAAAATGTTCCTTGTTGGAGCCCCAGTATGTCCCGGGAATAGTGATCACTGATTAAATGCAAAGTCGATGCAGATAAAGGAGTTAAACAATTTGTCATTCATGCTATTTCCAGTGTTCATAAAACATAAATGGAAATTCAATCAAATGTATTACAATGTGTACTACAAATAATGAAAAAAAAAGAAAGAAAAAAAACACATTGGGATTTTATGTTTCATTTATTTGTGATATGATTACTTTATACTAATAATGAATATATATATATACACTACCGGTCAAAAGTTTGGGATCACAACGATTTTTAATGTTTTTTTTACAGGAGTTTCTTCTGCTCATCAAGGCTGCATTTATTTGATCAAAAATACAGAAGAAAAAAAAAAGTAATAATCTTGCAAAAAGTTATTACAATATAAAATAATGGTTTATATTTTAATATCCTTTAAAATATTATTTATTCCTGTGATGCAAAGCTGAATTTTCAGCATCATTACTCCAGTCTTCAGTGTCACACAGAAATCATTCTAATATGCTGATTTATTATCAGTGCTGAAAACTGTTGTTCTGCTTAATATTTTTTTTGGAACTTGTGATACTTCTTTTCAGGATTCTTTGATGAATAAAAAGTCAAAAAGAAGAGCATTTATTTAAAATAGAAATATTTTCTAACAATATACACTACAGTTCAAAGGTTTGGGGTCAGTAAAATTTTATCCTTTCTTTTTTTGAAAGAAATTAAAACTTTTATTCAGCAAGGATGTGTTAAATTGATAAGAAGTG